ATTTTAGGATTCTTTGTCCTATTTCTGTGAAAACTATCATTGGGCCTTTATAGGGATCACATTAAATCTGTAGATTGCTTTAGGAAGTATGGACATCTTAACTGTTAATTCTGCCAATCCATGAGCATGGAATATAGTTCCATTTCTTTGTGTCTTCTTTGATTTCTTTCAACAATCTTTTATAGTTTTCAGTGTACTAAATCTCTCTTTATACCTTTTTGTTTGTTTGTTTCCTTTGGTGAGGAAGAGTTGCCCTGAGCTGACATCAGTGCCAATCTTCCTCTATTTTGTATGTGGGTTGCCACCTCAGCATGGCTGATGAGTGGTGGAGGTCCACACCTGGGATCTGAACCCATGAACCCCAGGCTGCTGAAGCAAGTCATGCTGAACTCAACCACTATGCCACTGGGCTGGCCCCACCCTTTACACATTTTATTTATCTAATTTAAATTTAATTACTATTAAACACCATTTTATGAGGACTCTGAAGCCCACATACTATTTATTCTGATTAGAGATATTCATATAATCATATTCATAAAATTCAAAGGCAGCTGATTTCATTTTAATAAGCATTGTCAATATCATTTCCTAATGAAAAAAAATCTGTTCTTCTTGGTTTTTAAGTTAAAAGTGAGTATAATTCTTTGTTGCTTTAATCATAATTTGATTGGGACATAAATGTAATTTTAAGTGGAAATTAATGCTACTATTAAAACATTTGTATTTAATACCTTTTGTGTGTTATTTTATTCTCCTCACACTGAGTAGGACAGAAAAAAGAGAAAAGAAACAACTTGAATTTTAGGTTCTTCATATCCTTTGCCTCATAGCTATAATAACTTGGAAATCAAAGGCAAATATGAGGATTAATAGAAGAAAATGCCTGTAGTTATTGACTTGTAGGAGATATAGTCAAACTGGGGTTGATGAAATGAGGAAGCTATGAGTAATGGTAAGAGAGATTCTTTCATTACAGAGGGATACAAAGGGCAGGGAGGAGCAGTTGCTCAAGACAGCTTCTAATATAGGCTGACTTTTATGTTGGAAATAGGCTTAACTTCTAAGTATCCTGCTTTTTTCAAAAAAAATCTATACATTAACTATAAGAATTATATCTGCATCATATTGCTGGTGATGTTGATTGAGGAAACAAGAGTGAAACTCAGACTTTAGGATTTGCAAGTAGAGTAGGACTTCTGGAGGCTATGAGTGAATTGGGGTCCTGCAGAAATCTACTTCTTCCCTTAGAGGTGTTTGCTGGCTCCAAGGAAGGAGTCACTGGTGTTGGAACTTTCCTGGGCCATGTGATACCACTGACCCCAAGTGGTGACCTTCCCTGACCCTCCCCTCAAAGGAATTCCTAGGTTCAAGTCTCAAATATTCCTACCTTCCTGAGCTCTACTGCATTGCAAATTGCCTTCATCTTATCAAGCAATGATATTGACCAAGTCCCTTGAATCTAAAAGTAAACTCTCAAGGGGTCTCTGTGGGTGAGTAACATGAACTACTAGGATCCAAGTGAGAAACGAAAATTCAGATGAGAGCCACAGACCTAAAATAAGGCTGGGATGTGCTATATTTGAATAAGTTAAAGGAGCAGTCAAGTGGTAAGGATGGCTTACTACTTTCCCTTTGTCTTTCTAACAAAGATTATTAAGAAGCTACATTGAACAAAGCAATTCACTAAAAGAAGTTGGAGATAAAGATAAAGTAAGAAATAGTTCTGACTCTGCTGACATCTTCAAGATTTAAGACAAATGACAATAACATAAAATCTAGGTTGAGTTTTAGAGATTTTGGTGTGTCAAGATATGCCTGGCAAACTGGTGGGGCAGGAAAGCTAGAGGCCTATTTACCTGGGGCCACTGAGCTTCAGAAGGAAAGAACTACCTCCACTATTAGAACTCAGACCTACCAGAGCAGGGCTGAGGTGATATAGCTTGAATGGGCTCTCTGTAGAGTTCTGAGGAGAGAGTTCAGAAAGAACTTAGCCTACAGATAACAGGAAGCATGGATAGTGTTTTGTATTAAAGGCTTAGTGGACAAAGGGAAGTGGCAGTTCTGAGTACAGACAAGTATCGATCATTCATATTTGTCTCCTGCTCCAGTATCCGTTGGAATTATGTCTGAGTGAAGGAAGCATCCTAGTCAAGAAACAAAGCAGATTCTCTTCCATGTTGCCTTTCTTTAGGCTATGGCTTTCATTCTAGTATGAAAGCATTGTAACACAAAGGGGGCATATGTTGTTTCATTTTAATCCTAATCGTGAACTTGCAAGGAGGTTATTAGTATCCTTATTTTAGAGAGGAGAAGATGGACTTTGAGAATTTACATCAACTTTCAAGATTAAAGCAGTAAATTTTGGGCCTGGATTTGAATCTGAATCCCATGCTCTATCCTCTAAGTGACCCTGCCTGCCCTCAAGGAGTGAAGTAAATATGCAAACAGGAAAAGATTCTTACTACAGAGACTTAAAGTCTTAAAAACAACGACAGTACTTCTTTGCTGTCTATATTTTTTGTTGAGCAAGAGGGTTGAATATCTCAGAAAAAAAGTCATTAGGTCACAGCTGGGAAATAAGAAATAGCTAGGTCTGGGGACATATGAGAAGTTTTGAAAACCTAGACAGAGACTAGTCCACTCTAAGAAAAATGTGGGTTTGGGGCTTTCTGGGCGACAGACAATCCCCGCTGTCTACTGATAAATCCATTCTCACTCTCCTTTTCCCTTTTCCTACTCCCTTCAGTAAGTTAACAATCTGGTGAAAAAACCAAAACTATGCATTATGCTTTTTTGCCAGTCAGGCCTAAGCAAGGAACAGACCCAAAGGATTTGATTGAAAGCAAAACATTCCCTGAGACTTTAACACTTTAATATAACTAAGATGCCATTAGCATTCAAAATTAAATTAAAAATTCATCTATGTTTCTCATTTATTTTGAGAATTAATCTTAGATTTTTTTTTTTTTTTCTGAATCAGATCAGCCCTAACATGTAGTTAATAAGAAACAAACTTTTCTATTGCTATGCGCTGGATCTATGGGATTATGTGCATAGCTAGCCTCCTTCAAGTTCAGGGGCCACAACACGAAGTATTTTTCTTGCAATTTCTAAAAATACATTCTTAGTTAAAATGTCATTTTGTTAGGGTGAGCCGCATGTAATTTTGGCATCTTTCTTACAGTTTTAGGGGAACATTTGGAGGACATTTCCTGAACAAGTTTTCTAAATCTCTTTGGAGAAAAATATAATAATCATTTGAAAATTATATAAGAGAAATTGTCACTATTCAGATGTTTTGCACAATATCTATTTTTTTTCTTTTTTGATGTTACATTTCTCATTTTTCTTGTGCTTCCTCAAATACAAGAACATATCAGATTCAATAGACTATGTTATTACAAAGTCTTCACTGAAAAGTTAAATACAGAAAAGAGAAAATATATCTAGTTGTTTTTCGTTCTTTTGTGTATAATGTCTATTACCCAAAGAAAATAACATTGTTATAATATTTTAAAACTCTAATTCTGGTTCTAGTGTACATTACTGTTCAAAAGGGAGTATAGAGACAAGGGTATGGTTATGGTTTTAGACAATCTGCTGTTGTCTCCTTTGTCTACAGATCAGTATTAGCAATTTTGACCCCCAAGTGAGAAAAATATTGATCTTCCAGTTACTGCTTGTTCCTTCTCCCCTCCTTACTCCCTGGAAAACAGACAGTTTTTACTTTTACTTATTTTCAAAAGGTAAACTACTATTATAAATAACATTATTAGTGAAAAGTACTGTCACTTACAGTTTTTGTTTTAGTACTTTCCATAGTAACCCCCTCAGCCTCCTTGTCAGAATGTCTTCTTCCTTTGACATCTCTGAGTGAAATGATGGAAATCCAATGATCTAATTGTACCATATCATATCAACATGAAAATCCTTTCTTTTTTTTGAAAAAGTAAGAAAGGTGTTTTTTCCCCTTAATTTTCCCTATGCAAATTTTAGTCTATAATCATACAGATAGACAGAAACTCTCTCTGATGGGCAAAGCATTGGGAATTCTGAAATTAGCTTTTCCTTAGGTCATTGTCAACAGAAGAAGTTCTGTGTAATAAAGAATTTAACTTCCCCAAAAAGAGGACTGGCCTTTGCCTGGGGCTTCTAGGAGGTAATCACTAAGCTCTTGGGCTGTGATGCATGGTGGGAATGTCTTTGTCTGCCTTGGAACCTTGGGTCACTGATGGCCACATCAGAAAGACCAACAATGTGCTTTAGGGTGGGGTTTTTGAGTCACACCATCTCAGTGGACCTCCTGAGGGACGGCTGACTCGGATTATCCTCCTGGACAATCAATCAATCATGGCTACATAATGGAGCCCTGACAACATCTCTGAACACTGAGGCTTGGTTTGACTTTCTTGGTTGGCAATATGCTGTGTGTATTGTCACGCTTCGATGCCAGGAAAGTAACATGTCCATGACTGCATCAGAGGAGGACAACAGAAGGTGTGCACTGATGCCTTTCCTGAGCTCTGCCCTACGTGCTTCTTCCCCTTGCTGATTATAATTTTATCCTTTCCCTGTAATAAACCACAAATATAAGAATAGAAACTTTCAGCAAGTTCCGTGGGTCCTTCTAGTGAATTACAGAAACTAAAGATAATCTTGGAGACCTTCAAATTTGCACTTGGTGTCAGAAATGAAGGCAGTCTTTTGTGAGGATTGTTTCCTCTAACTGTACAGTTGGCTAAAGGTCTTACAAGTTTATTTTCCTAAATAGGAAAAGTTCGTGCTATCATTTTTGCTATAAACCATTCTACAGTGAACTGAAGTGTAAAAAGTAAAATTAGTGAACAAAAATTCTGGCATCTTTCTGTGTATGCTTATATATATGTTTGGATATGTGGTTTCTGTGTCCTGACTATTTGCTCATTCACCTGTGTTGACTTCAGAAACTCAAAGGAGTGTGATGAACCTATGTCTGAAACTAACACGTTTTAATGTAGTCTCTTTTACAGACTTTCAAGAATAGTGGGGTACAGAATTGGGAGCTATAACGGACCCACACATCACTGGAAATTGCCATTCAAGAATCTAGATGGCTAAGAGCTGACACAGCAGCCATCGCTTGCTTTCACAACTGTGGAGCTAGCGGGTATTCACGCCATCGCCAAAGGCTTCTGTCCTTATTAATCACACGTCTGAAGGAACAGATCATTGCTAAGGGACTACAGGTTTGTGTACAGATTCTTATACGTTCTTCATTGTGCCTGAGATTTTGAGTAGTATTGTAAAGAAAACAGAGAAAACAAACAAAAATTTTTGAACTGAAAGCAGAGACCTCAATTTGAGTCCCAGATTTGCTTTTAATTAGTTCTGAAAGCTTAGGCAAGCTATTTTAACCTCTCTGGGCCTTAATTTCCCTATTTAAAAAAAATGAAAACAGTTGAACTAGATTATTTCTTAGTCTCCATGTGGCTTTAAAATGAGGTGATGTGCAAGTAGCTTCAAAACTTAGCTTCCAAACTGAGGTCAGAGTTTCAAACTTGAGTGGCCAGAGGAACAAATCCTGGTGTTCTCTCTGTGCCTGCTAAGAACTGAAAGTAAACTGCTTTTCTCCCTCCAGAAACAGGTGCTGTTTGGCATCTCCCTCACACGAGTTTAAGTTTTTACATCTCAAACAAGGTTAAAAAACACTTTTACTCAAATGTTTTTTACATCTTGCTTTTTAATCATTTAGGGAATATATTTTCAATTAACATATTTTATTTTATAGCTCAGATTAACACATTCCATAGCCTTAATATATAAGAACTATTTTTTTAAATAAATTATTATAATTAAAATCTCTACTAATAACGGCAACATGTTTTTGTAATACCTTGTACTTCATTGCAATTCCATCTCTCCCTGCCATTTCCAAAGCATCAGGTCATTTTCTGATCTATATCAGACTGTTAATATGTGTCACCCTAGGGTGGATGGAAGGGCAGGGAGAGTAATTTGGGTCAAGGAAAGAGATGAGTGGAAGAAGCAAAAAAGAAAAAGGAACAAGTAATGCCAACCTAAAAAAAGAAGTACCGTGATGGTATCCTTGCATTTATATAAAACATTCATGTGTGTGTACATGCATAAGTAGAAAAGCTTATGTTTTAAATCAGTGTTTGATATCTATCTACTGATATATGGAAATAGCTATTTAAAATGAAACATGAAAAGGCAGATTACAAATGAAGGTATATGGTACATGGTGTGAGTCAATTCTGAAAATAAATACCTGAGTGGGGGTACACTTTTGGGTGTGGGTTTGGATGAGCAGGGAGAAAGTTGTGAAAGTGCGTGTACCAGGCCACTAATATGGATTATCCAAGGCAAGTACGGTTTGGTGGGTGGGTGGGATGAGAAGATGATATCTTGCTCTACTCAACTCTGAATTTTTTCATTTGACTTAATGCATACTTTCCTTTTGTAATTTGAAAAACATCAAATTAGATGCATAAATGCAAACTGGTAGTATTTGTTCATTTCTGTGTAATATATGAAGGACTATACATTGATGAATCTGCTCTACTGCATCTGTGTGCATTTCAGCTTAACACTCAATTTATAAAACATCTTGTTTTCGTAAAACTTTGAAAATAATTTTTTTAAGCATTTGAACATGGGTAAAAATGTAATGAATTGAATTTCTTGAACTACTAAAACTATAATTGCTACTTGTTTGTTACTGATCCCAGTATTTTAAACCTTTTAAACAGCAGACAATACATATACAAATATGGTGATTACCAAACATTAATGTACTTGTACTTAATCTATTCAAAATCCTTTGCAATGTATGTTTAACACATTGTTATTTCTATACTTGGTCTTTATAGTTTCCTAGGGAGAAGGTAATATTTGTTTTAGTATTGTTTTATGGCTTCAGAGCAGAAATATTTTGATACATTTCATGTGTTCAAATAATCTTTCTGGACCAAAAAGGAGAAAACACTGTCTCAGGTCCATCCAATTATAGTATTTGGGTTATCAACAGATGGATTCTTTGCTGAGTCCTGGCATCTGGCTGCTTCTTTGAGAGTGAGTCAAATCTTCACTTTTTCCACAGATTTGGCTTCCTGTTTATATTAGTAGGACTTCTTTATTTTCAGTTGAGAATTATTACATATGTCTTCTTAGCTTAACATCTTCCTTTTAAAGTGTACATTGTATACATATGATTTGATTGCCCAGAATTACTTTAACGATGGAATATTATTGTATAATATTAGTTTGTTTTCTTAGCATTATTAGAATCTTAGGTATTCCTTATTAGTGTTATTATAAATTGGTGGTCATCCACAGAATTAATGTCTTAGAAAATGAGGGAATGATTCAGAGAAGTTAACTTATCTCTTTAAAACATTTGTCTAATTCATCATTTTAGAATACAATATTGAGCCCTCTTTCCACCTAGCTATAAGGAGAGACCACAGGTGATGGCCAGTTCCAATTTTTGCAAGATGCTTTGCCTTACATATAGTTTATTGTGTTTACTCTTTTCTACTAACACACACAGAAAACAGTACACAACTTATACAAAGACATACACTTAGTAGAAGATGCAAAATGCCTGTGTGTAGTAACATTGACTAATGTTATTAACCAACATTATTAATTAACTAATGTTAACTATTATTGAATAATAATGTGTATTAGCATTGACTGTGTTTATTGAAATGACTAAAATCAAAAACATATCCTTTAATATAGATCCATGTTTTGCATGGCTAAAACCTTTTGTACAACTTATATTGTTAGCTCCTTTCAATATAATAATGATTGAATAGCATTTTACAAGCTCAATTTATTTCCATTATTCATAATATTAATGAAGATTATTATTGTAGTGGCTCAAATTATCACAACTGGAAAAGTGTTAGCCCCATCAAGCTCTCTTTTGTGTTTTTTCCTCACTACCACCCCATCATTCCTAAAAGTATCTTTGTTGTCTGACAATGATAAGATATTCTAGGACCATTCAGAATTCTCCCAAGTCTGAAGCATGATATCATGGCATCAGCTAGACTCTGATGATCCCCCACCTCTTTCAGTTAGAAAGAAGCCCAAATGTGGAAACCTGGGCTTGACCAGACTGTTGATGGTGGGTTGAGTCTTGTTGGTGCTATTAGCCAGGTTGAGGATAACACTTTTTTTTTTCTTTTTTTGGTGGGGAATATTGGCCCTGAGCTAACATCTGTTGTCAATTTTCCTCTATTTTGTATGTGGGACACTGCCACAGCATGGCTTGATGAGTGGTGTAGGTCTGCGACCAAGATCCAAACCCATGAACCCAGGCTGCCGAAGCAGAGCACACCGAACTTAACCACTACGCCACAGGGCCAGTCCCAAAAGATCATTCTTTTTAATGCCACATGTTCACACTGAATCCAGGAAAAGGCCCACATACATATAACTTAGTCAATGGTGGAAGTGGCAATATATGTTGGAGATAGGATGGGTTATTCAATACATGTTGCTGTGACAATTGGCTATGTATCCACAGAAAAACTAAAATCAGATCTCAACCTCAAATCATGCACAAAATAAATGCTAGATAAAAACTTAAATTTGGAAATTAACAATTAAAATGCTTAAAAGAACATAGAGATTGTTTTGTTGTTGATTTTAATACCCAGATAGAGTGACATGATATAAGCAAACTATAAAAGATGGATTACCACATTAAATTAATAAGATCTGTGTGACAAGACACTATAAACAGAGTGAAAGACTTTGAAAAGACCAGATTGAGAGAAAGTATTTCCAGTGCAAATAAATGATAGAAGATTAGTATCAAGAATATCTACTTTAAAAACTTCTACATATCATTAAGGATAAAAAACCAATATGATATAAAAATGGGCAAAGAATGTAAGCAAGAAATTCACAAAGAAAAATTGCATATTGTCAGTATTGATATGGAAAACTACTTAACCATTTTGGAAATCACAAAAACACAAAACAGCTAGAAAGTGAGACCATTAAGAGTGGCAAATCTAAAGAAATCTGATAATTTCAAGTGTAAGCAGGGAAGTGGGGAAATCTAATCTCTTGAGCAGCACAGATGCGGGAAGGAGCTATAAGGCAACATAACAGCTTTGAGAAACAATTTGGTGTTATGTAGCAGAGCTGAATGTGCAAATGCCCTGTGTGACCCAGCAATTCTGCTTCTCAGTATATAAAGCAGAGCAGCGTTTTTCTCACTTTTTGATCATCTGTGTATAGACATATATACAAATTAATACAGAAGTTTCAAGAAACAATTCTTACATTTCACCTTGTAATGCACTGACATTTCTTTTTATTCTGCTTTTATCACATCGCATGATATCACGTCATATCATATATCATTTCATCATATGTATTTCAAATGTTATTTACAACTCACTAAATTGATTTTACATCTCCTAATGAGTCAAGGCTTGTGATTGTAAAACGCTACAAAACTCTTGCATTTGTACATACAGAAATAAATAAAAGGATGTTCTTTACAGTATTATTTATAGTCAAAATTAGAAATACAATATCCATTAATAGGAGAATGGGTAGAGAAAGGTAGTATATTTGTGCAATAGACTATTAAATAGCTAAAGTTATGAACTAATTCTACATGTATGAATATGATTAAGACTAGAAAATATAATTTTGTATTAAAAAAGTGAGTTATAATAAAATATATATATGCAGTGAAAGTGCAAATAAACATGTGACAACTTCAGAATAGTTATATATGGGAGGAGGACATATACCCCTTTCATGATAATGGTTATGCCTGGGAAGAGAAATAATTAAAACAAGAATAGAAAAGTGCAATTTTTAAAAAATCTCGGTGCTGTGTACATGGATTCTGTTATATTTTTACTATTTAATGCATTTGAAATATGTAATTAATAAAATAATACCATTCTTAATGGGACACTCCCTGGGACTGTTCAGTTTTTGAAAACTGACTCATTCATGCTTTCTTGAAATAAAAAATAAATTGGACATCATGGTAAGAACTTGTTCCTTCATGACGTGGGTGAGAGGAAACCTTGAGTTTATCAGCATCTTTGATTCTTACAAATACAAGCTGAACACCAGAGCTGGAACCTTACTGTTCAATGGTTGTTCTTGAAGAAAAACCTTCTGCCTCGGTTTAGGGAGCAAAGACTAAGGAAGAAACTCAATGCTCCTTCAGATATAATCTCCTTAAACAGGCCCCCAGAATATCATAGAACTACTTGTCACATCAGAACTCAGATTTAACATCTTTTTTCAGGTTAAGGATAGCCTGTGCAGCTGGATTCTGAGAAGCCACTTGCTTTTGAATGGCCATGGATGTGGGCAATATGACTAGTAGGAACTGCTTTTAAAACTCAAGGTGCAAGTAAGTTCAACACTGTCCTTTCCCAATTAGGTGCTACCTGATCTGCCATCAGGAAATCCCTTTAAGGATTCCTTCTCCTAACTGTCTAGACACACATGAAATACCTGGAGTCTGATTCTTCTGTTGTTGCTTTTGTCTCTGCCACATACTATCGCTCCTGAAAACCAATTTGAGAAGACTGCAGTCTGAGAGAAGATGCTGGTCCCCTGTGGCAATAACAGCCCCCCTTGCCAGTCCAGAACTGCACAGGCCACGTTGTCCTGTGGGGCAGGATGATCCAATGTCCTCTGACTAGGCCTGCACTATACCCACACTCCCAAAATTGCAGAGCCCCATGTCCATTCTCATATAAAGCCTCCTAAGGACCAAGTCTAACCAGAGACAAGGATTTCTTCTGGAATAGCCCTTTCACACACCCAGAACTGCTGTCCTCCTTCCTCCTTCAAGGATCTCTAGTTCTCCGACAACTTCTGAGGATATGCTCGTATTTACCCTGCACCCACCCTGCTGGGAAGCTGCTGTGGCTGCATATAACTTGTTCTTCCTGAGTTATATCAAAGGGCCCAAACAAACCCTCTCAGAGGGGCTGTTTTCAGTGATTCCAAGGTGATTTTTTATTCCTTTCTCACTACAAAAAAGGAAAAAGAATGTGTGTGTGAGTGTGTATATATGTGTGCGTGTATACATATACACACATATACATACACAGACACACACACGCTACCAATTTTACATATTCGCAGAATTTCGGACATGGCCCCCAGCCACAGATAGACCGTACAAAATACTGCCAGGGAATCCCCACTCTCCTCTTAGTCTGAATCCCCTTGCTGTTCCCCACTCAGCTGCCTTCATCTCTGCTGTGGTTTTGTTTCCTGAACCCTTTTGACTGGGATTAGCTCCTTCTAGACAACTTGCTGTGTGTCCCATACTGCTGTTTGGACAGTAGTCTGCAAGCATCCTCTCCAATTCTCTGCTCCACCAGCAGGGATCTCCTTCTGTTACTGTGTATTTATTTATTAACCCCCTGCAGAAGGCCATCTAAGACACAGATGAAGAGTTGCCTGCATAGTTCAACATTTTATTATTCAGGTGAGTCTTTGTCTTGATAAAGTAGTTTTATTTTTAAAATTTAAATGAAATTGAAGAAGAGATTTGACACACATTTACCCATTAAATAATTAATGATACAAAATGTTCTTATAAATGTTTAAGGTTGTTCTCCATCTGAGAATTTAAATTACCTCTTTCTGTATTTTAAAATTATTAGATCTGCCTCCCACATAGCAGTCTCTTAGAAATGCCTCTCACAGAACTGTTTGTTCACCTTTAGAAATACTGGTTTGGATGGATTTTCCAAAAGAATGGGTACTCTTTTTAGGAACTCCAAGACACTAGGGTTTCTGTTTCCTTTTGTTTGTTCTATGGAGTATTTTGATTCCAATAACACCAACACATCTTTCTAATGTCTTTTTGTTTGTCATTATCGAAATAACTCTTTGGTTCGAAGTTCTCTTGTTCTCTACGTATCAATAAAGCAAGTGGAGAGTCAGCTAATGACAGCCTCCTGCGGAAAATAATCTGCAACAAAACAAAACAAAATTTAAAAAACACCGTGGAGAAGAATAAAATTAATGACAGTGGCCTGACCCTGACAAGAAACTGTTTTCATTTTATGTTTTATTTTCTTTAGGTTGTAAACACAATGACTTGATGTGTCAAGCAGGTTGCAATGTTAATAACATTTATAGGCGCATGATTTGCAGCAAACACCTGATTATGGTTGACTTCATTTAAAACTAAGCCCTCTGCAGAGGGCATATTAATATTCGCTGTTTGCTGCTTGGGATGCATTCCGTTTGTCACAACCTGAAGCCTCAGAAGGCCAAAGGAGAACATTCTAATTAACCCTGGGCGAGTTGTAGTAGCGCAGAATTGTTTTGTTTTATTTTGTTTTCCTTTTAGTAACTGGAATAAAGCATATAACCAGAGTTTTGAGACCACAGACAGGGTTCCCCTGGTAAAAGCTCTGCCAGCAGCACCACAGACTGTTACTGTGAGCAACTTATTGGCTCCATACAATTTGTATCACTCATGTTTCCTTGAATTACAACCATCAGGATAGTTTGGGGGCTAAGCTGTCACATTTAAGGAAATGTATATGGTTTTATGTCTCTGATGTGACATTAGAGAAATATACATATGTATTTCACTAATACAAATATACATATGTATTATTGGTTTAAATACAGTAAACAACTTTTGAAAATATGTTTTAGGAAGATGACATTCTCATCTTCAAAACGAAAAAAATTAAATATTTTTAAACTACTGTAGAAGCAGTTTAAGGGAGAGCAAATGAATGACTTCTCTGAATGAAATTTGCTTATTTCTGAATTTTTTGTGAGAAGTGGATACAAGGAGGTTAAATGAGATAATGATGTAAGGAGTCTAATGTGGTATCTGACACTTTCGATCCCTTCTCTACAGGCCTTTGTGTAATTTGATCAAAGCAAAGTCTGGACATCTGTCAGGATGAAAGACATAACATTCCATCCCCACTGTGGCTGCCATCCAATTCAGCCTATCAGATTCACTCGGAGCTTTTTCAAACAGGACTAGCCAGCCCTTCTTTACAATCCACTCTGAAGATTCTAATAGGCTCTCTCCTAGGCAAAACTAAAGAAAAAAATATTTCATGGTTCTTCTCCAGAAAGATACCCTAAAGCTTTCAGTGACTTCTCTGTTTTTGAGTAACCTTTTTTTCCATGTTCCCCATGATTCTTGGAACTCAGTTTGGACTATGACTGTGTCCAATGATTTTATGCCACAGTTACTTTTCTATAAAGTGAGTAAATGTTCCTCCCACCAAAATATTTTATAATAAAGAATATTTAAATTTGTCTTTTCTTTTTGGAGTACAGGCAACTACACTCAAAACTATTTTGAATAACCCACTTTATTTTGGTTTGTTTTATTTACGTTTTCCTAGAATATGTGAACAATTCGCATTCCGTCATCTTAATGAATGGCTATGTTAGGAGGAAAAGTTCTAGAATAGGTGGGATAGATGGTTTAGTTATTTGCATATTATAAGTAAAAAGGAGGATCTGATGGTTGTGATGGTTAATTTTGTATGTCAGCTTGACTGGGCTAAGGGATGCCCAGATAGAAACATTATTTCTGGACGCGTCTGGAGGGATGTCTTAGGAAGAGATTAGTGTTTAAATTGGTAGACTGAGTAAGAAGATTGCCTTTGCCAGTGCAGGTGGGCATTATCCACTGCTGAGGGCATTATCTGCTGAGGGCTTAGATAGAACAAGAAGATGGAGAAAGTGTAAATTCACTCGCTCTGCTTCAGCTGAGACATTCATCTTCTGCCCTCAGACACGGGCACGCCTGCTTCTCCAGCCTTCTGACTCGGACCTGGACTTACACCATAGGCCCCAATTCTCAAGCCTTTGGACTTGAACTTACACCTTGGTGCCCCTGGTTCTCAGGTCTTCAGATTCAGACTGAATTACACCACTGGTTTTCCTGCTTGCAGACAGCCAGTTGTGGGACTTCTCAGGCTCCATAGCCTTTTATCTATACTTATCTATATATCTGTATATCTATATCTACATCTATATTTACTATTGGTTCTGTTTCTCTGGAGAACCCTCACCAGTACCATGGTAAATCCAAGATTGATTTAAAAAAATAAAATTATTAATACAAGACTAGTAGTTAAAAACTGCGTATATTGGGGCCAGCCCGGTTGTCAAGTGGTTACAGTACTGTGTGCTTCGCTTTAGCGGCCTGGGTTTGCAGGTTCAGATCCCGGGCGCAGACCTACTCCACTCATCAGCCATGCTGCAGAAGCATCCCACATACAAAGGAGAGGGGGATGGGCACAGATGTTAGCTCAGGGCTAATCTTCCTCAAGCAAAAAAAAAGGAAGATTGGCAACAATGTTAACTCAGGGCAAATCTTCCTCACTATAAACAACAACAGCAAAAACTGCATTTAGTGCTTGTTTTTATCTATAAAATCACTTAATGAATGTGAGCTAGCCATGTAAAGCCTAAGTTTAATGTACTCATCTGTAAAGGAAACAGTTGAACAAAAGGAACCCCAGTGTCTCTTTATCTCTGAAAATCTGGCTTTTATTATACCTTTGTCAGTAAGCTTTGATTGTCGGTAATACTAAATATTTTCTGTCTCTCATTATTGCTTCCAATTGCCGTGTGTATGTGTGTGTGTGTGTGTGTGTCTATCATTTATTCCCATCAAGTCTAATAACTGATCTTATTTTCTAAGATTCCAATTAAGGAAGTGGGAGAGTGGTGGTTGCACAGACTGGATGCAAATTCTCTGTGATTCATTTTTGTATAGATGCAAATATCGGCTCTGGTGTGTTTCTGCCTCAAACTCCTGCCTAGATTGCCTTAACATCTCTACTCTGACAGCTTGCACACCCTGCCAAGGTTGGAACAGCTCCTGAGTCTCTGCATCTTCTAAAAGGGCAGCTTAACTACCTGTAATTCCTGGTGCTAAATGATGTGTGGTAAGAGGAAGCTTCTCCTTTCGGTCCCATCTTCCTCAAGTTGTTTTCTAAAGCACTTTCGTGTAGTTTTTATCTTTGGCCAAGATGCCAGCCCTACTAAAGTTTCTTCTGTGATAAAGATATCTTTTTAGTTTTTTACTTAACAAGGTACCTAGGATAAAAAATGATTCTAGAAAATAAGTATTTTTTTTCTATCTTAAACTTCATATTGCTCTGATTTTTAAAAATTACGTTTATTTATTATTTAACACTTGACTTTTCTGGCTAATGTTAATTTTTAATAAAGAGGAAAATCTTACTCTTATAACTTTAAAAAAGACAGTCATGAATTTAAATCTTTAATGACTGTTGCAAATTTCATATATTTCTGAAAAATATTTAGGCTATGAAACAGTGAAAAACGGTTGTCAGCCTTACTTATCTATTTGTTTACCAGTTTTTACTGATGGCCTATTTGTGCCTGGTTTACTAAGTGATAGAAACATGTCAACTTTCTTTGTCTTATCCATTAATAATGTGTGATAGGGACCTGTTTAGAATACGTTTTAATCCACTCTAATTTTAAAGTCTCCGTGTCAACACTGAACTGTGTTTTTAATGATACATAAAGAATATTCTGAGTCTAGAAATGATTTCTTAGGAAATAAAAACGTATCCTGTCATTTAAAAAAAGTACTGAATTATCAATGTGTTTTTTGTGTTCCATGTAGTTTGAAAAACCGACATTAAGTAGCTCCATGGGAGAGGGGTCTATTGACCTTCTGAAATCTAGGCTGCCTTTGGACTGTGCTTTTCTAGTTGCTTCTCATTGATTATGGCACACCTGCCATGGTTGAAATTGCTAGATAAACATTTTTCTCTCCATACAAGCAGAGGATTTTTAATTTATTCTTTAGATTTAATAAGTCAAAAATGTGTGTTTATGGGACACAGACATAAAATGAGGATCTGTATACATTTGACAGTCTGTGTGTATGGTGTGGGCAACTTCCACTATTGGATTATGAAGGAGAAGAGAGAAGGACACTAGAGAAATGAATTTACCAATGGAGTCAGGATCTGGAAAACCCAAACCCCTGTCCGTTTGTGCCTGTCTTCCCAGGCTCAGATTGCTTTGGTTCAATCTTGACTCTGCATCTTACTAGTGTTAAAAAACAAAATTTAACAGAGTAAATTTGAAGATCTAATTGGCTTTAATTAATGATTCGTGAGTTTGGCAGTATCCCATCTAGCAACTGGAAGGGCGCTCCAAGGAACTGTACCAAATGGAAGTTTTATAAGCAGAAGGAAGGTGGGGAGAGAAGGTATTAGGAAAAAAGGGATTGTTTCAGGCCAGGACATCTTCTTTAGGGGAAAAGGGAATGGCAGAAATTTTATCACGCAGATTACCTCACAAGTGCTGGTCAGGAAATTTCCAGTTGACTGTTTAATGGTTACATTCCTGAGACTGGCTGAAACTGTAACTGAGTCTTGGTTTTGCTGTCATGAGGGCAAAATGACTCCATTTGAGGCCTATTATTTCTTTTTTTTTAACACTAGCAAAGTGATATCGGTCAGCTTGCTTAAGCGATTTGTGCCTCAGTTTCATCATCTGTAAAATAAGAATTATTAATAGTCCCCACAAACCACTGTTGTCAGAGTTAAATGAGTTAATACATACAAAAGGATTAGAATTATGTCAAGCTCAATAAATACTAGCTGTTTTTATTATTATCTAATGTTTGTTTCTTTTTTTCCTCAAATTACTTCTTAAGAATATTGACTTGTTATTGATCTAAGATTCAAGCTGAACAACAAAAAATCAAGATTTGTCACAAATTTTTGTTGTGCTAAAAGTAACTTGTAGCCTAGTAGAGTTTGAAGTAAGTTAGATAATTGTGGGAACATGATTCTCTCTCTTTTGTTTTCTTTTTTGTGCAAAGAGATATCTATTGTAACAAAGCTTTTGATAACCTACTGAAATATTAATGTCACTTAAAAAAAGGAGACGTTTGCAAGTTATTCTTACTCTGCTAGCCCTGGAAGCATCCCAAATGCCTCTCAGACAATTACATGTTCAATTAATCTGTTAACTCCTCCGTGACTTCTGATGTTTTTCACTGCCATCCATTTAAAAATTTTAGAAGGCCAAAGTAGATTTTGTTGGAAATTATTTCCCCTGTAGTAAATATTTTCCCCCAAATTATTGTTCTTCCATTTATTTATGCCATATTATCTCCTTGTTTGCTTATGTTTTATTTATCTCTTTTTTTCTTTCACTCGTTTTCATTGATAAGAGATCAATCCATATATGACATAGATATACTCCTGAGGTGTCCACACTCTTTGTCTGCACATTATTTCACTTGGATCTTAAACTGTTAGATTAATTCAAGTGAGTATATGTGCTGGCTCACTGATCCAGCAATCAGAGAAGAGTGTGCCAGGAACTAGAACCACATATAATCCAAGCAGTTGAACTTGTTTTGTTTGTGTTTTCTTCTCTGTATGTGATAAATACACAGTGAAAAAGGCCAGCTCTCCCTATCTAGGTTGATTTGTTTACTAGCTATTTATCTATTTTTTCTCAGCTCCAGT